AAGCAAGTAGCCTTTTAGTGCTCACCAACCTGAACACTGTGTTGAGACATCATAAAAGGATTTACATGCTGGAAGGAAATGTTCCGGTTCTGCGTCGTGCTAAAGTTGCAGGAAGCGGCGTTGGTGGATGTAAGCTGCACGATAACATGTTGATCGCTGTCTGTGGTTAAATTGTGCTTTCGCATTACCTTAAATGTTCACAAGCAAATAGAAAACAAATAACCCAGCATGTCTGGAATTACAAATATGGACTTGGATTAGCTTTTTTTAATTTGATGAAAGCTGTAGGAAATTAGCCAGCACAAGAGTTATCTTATATTACACGTCTAAAGGATGTGTGCTATAGTTTAGAGTTTTGGTTCACTTCCTGTTGTATTTTTTCTTTTCTTTTTCTTGTTTTACGTTTCTCATCGATCAGTCTGTGTTTTGTTTTTTTTGCCCTTTGGCAGCCCCTTCTTTCACTTGTTTACTTTCTCTGACTGACCGCTTGTGTTTGAATCAAATTTGGATTTTGTGACTTTAGCTTGTCTTCTCATTTGAGTCTCTTCTTCCAAGTGAACGATCGCAATTTGATTGTGATGATTAATCGTACCCTGTGCTGCTCTTTGAGAATTTCTGATGGAGGATGGGGCAAAAAAATTGCACATGACTTTCCCACTCTTTTTTAAAATTGTTACTGTGTTTAGGAGCAACATAATCCCTGACTGAGTTACACAGAGATGCACAGTGTTGTGTTTTTCAGTGAATGAAATAATGCATTCACAAACTGTGTATGAGTCAGCAGGAGGTGGTTGGGGCTACATGGAAATTCTACACAGGTTTTGACTCCAAAGTCTGTGGATTAGTTCAAAGAAAAATAATTTGGTGAGTCTGATTGAACTTACATGATCACAACCTTTCTGTAACCTTAACCAGCTTCAACTCTTGAAAATCTGAATACACTGTTATACATCCACAAGTACAGCACTCCAGACACATCTGGGAATAATGCTACAACAATAACACTCCCATATTGCCATGCTTAATTCCAAGTGAATTTTGACATTTGTACACTTAAGCAACCTGGATTGTGTTCGTACTGAACACTGTTGGTCATCGTGTTTAAGTGTAAGGGAACATTTCCTGGCTGTCTCTCCTCACATCGCTTCCTCTGATGGACGGAGAAGTTATGAATATGCAGCTGATTTCTGAAAGCTGACAGCTGCTGACAAATGAAGCATCTCACCTTACGTAAGCATTGCTACCTCCTGATTTGAACTTTGAAGGCTGCTGAAAAAATTGACTTCTTGTGTGAGGATTTCATGTTGTGAAGGGCCAGGCTGCCACAGGCTGTTAACCTATCAGTTAGGAGTCGTCTGAGCAATTTTAACTTTGCTAAAGGAAGCATCAAATTCCAGTCTTTCAACAATTACATGAGGCTTATTTTAATAGTTCTAATATCAGAAGATTGTCGTTTTCAAGCTGTTAACCTTACCCCTTTACTTTGCATCGAATCGCTGCGTTGTCCTCTTCTGATGTGTTTTGACATTTCCCCGTTTGAGTGTCATGAGCTGCTTTGATTTGATTGACGGGTTGACTGCAGCTGTGATTGGTTGACTGGCTGAACTGACAGTATGAATGTGTTTATTTGTTATACACCCATTTAAAAATGCTTCACTTGTGTTTGAGCCAATTACAGTTTTCTGCGCTGTACACTTTTGGTGAACCATCATAAAGTAAACTAATCTTTTTTTATTATTGTTGCTATGCACTGTTTTCAGTTTCATTCCACCTGGACTTTAGGTTATTTAGTTTCAGTCTGATTAATAACTTGCATAATTAAGTGATCTATATTGGGATTTCTTACTTGAAATTATTCAAAAATGTACATACATTAAATTGCATGTGTGTATATATAAATATATTTTTTATGAAAAGTCTGGTTTTCTGTATTTTTTTTTTTTTTACTGAACTAAAATGTTTTTGCACGTGTAGGTTTAGTTTTTAGTTTTTGTTGACTTTAATTACCTTGGTGGTTGTTAAACATGCCCATACAGTAAAGACTACAAGGAAGTAAGAAGACTTAAAACTAGCAGTTGATGGCATAACCTTACTGGAAGCATTTATTCAAGTTGTAAATCATATCCTTGTATGATGACTTTTTAAAAAATACCAAACAAAAAGGCTTCTTGAAAAATATTTCAACTTACCATTTACATTTTAAGTGTTTTGTTTGACATTTGGAAGAACTAAATTAATCTTATAGAGCATTGTGTGATTTTTTTTTCATTCAGTTTATTTTGCATAATACACTCAGAAAAAGAAACATTTATCAGACTCAGTTTTTGTATTGTCTGTTGTTTTATTGTCTGCAGTCGAATCCAGCAGTCCCAGTCTTCTGGCTCCTGATAACTCCCTGGAACGGTCCTTCTTCATCCGGATGAAATCTACACTCACAAAGAGAGGCGTGCACATCAAGTCCTCAGGATATAAGGTCAGAACAATGTATCGCAAAAATAAGTTGAATTCTAAAACTGGAACTGTGGAGAAGGGGGAAAAGAAAAGTCACTATGAAGTTTTTATAAAAACCTCTTGTGTTGAAGCTGAAAGTCAATCTTTCTTCAATCACATATTAATTATTTGATTTAAACTGTGTGCACCCAGGCAAAATTACAAAAACCATCTAACAAATTATGGAGCTGCTGCTAAATTTTTGATAGACTGGATTTTCTAACATGCGTATGATCATCTCCCTTCATCTGCTTGAGGACAAATCAACTCATTACTGTTTTTAATCTGTGATTCACATGGAAATTTATAATGTAATGAAAAAATAGGTACTTTGCATGCTTATGTGTCTCCTTTTCTATATACAGTAGTTTGAAAAGTGTTTGCCTTCATCATGCCTCCTATTTTTTGTTTGTCACACTTAAATGTTTCAGATCATTAAACAAATTTAAATATTAGACAAAGATAACACAAGTAAACACAAAATGCAGTTTCTAAAGTGTTTATTATTAGGGGAACAAAACCCAAACCTACATGGCCATGTGCAAAAAAAAAAGGAATTGCTCCCTAAACCAATAAGTCTTTTACATCGCTGTGGAGGGTTGTCAAGGCCATGCCACAGCATCTCAATCGGATTCAGTTTAGGACTTTGACTAGGCCACTCCAAAGTCTTCAGTTTGAACCCAAGTGCACTTCAGTTTGAGGTCACGAACAGATCGCCGGACATTCTCCTTCAGGATGTTTTGGTAGACAGCAGAATTCAGGGTTCCACTTACCACAGCAAGTCTTCCAGGTCCTGAGGCAGCAAAACAGCCCCAGACCATCACAATAGCACCACCATATTTTACTGTTGACATGATGTTACTTTTCAAAAATGTTCTGTTAGTTTTATGACAGATGTAACAGGATACACACCGTCCAAAAAGTTCAACTCTTGCCTCGTCTGTCCACAGACTCAAAGGTCTTGGGGATCATTAAGATGTTTTTATGCAAACGTGAGATGAGCCTTTATGTTCCTTTTGCTTAGCAGTAAGCAGTCTTGGAACTTCACCATGGATGCCATTTTGCCCAGTTTCTTTCTTATGGTGGGGTCATGAACCTTAAATGAGGCAAGTGAGGCCTGCAGTTCTTGGGATGTTGTTCTGGGGTCTTCTGTGACCTCTTGGATGAGTCGTCATTGAACTTGGGTTAATTTTGTTAACCACTGTTCCATGTTTTTACCATTTGACGTTCACTGTGGTTTGCTGGAGTCCCACAGCGTTAGAAATGGCCTTATAACCTTTTCCAGGTTGAGAATCTCAGCTACCTATTTTATTATAATTTGGTCCTGAATTTCCTTGGATCACAATATGCTGTCTGTCTTTTGGTCTACTTTTTCTGGGGGCCATTTAGGTTTGGATTTCTTTTCTTTTCCCCCTTAATAATAAACACCTTCATTAAGAAACTGCATTTTTTGTTTACTTGTGGTATCTTTGTCTAATATTTACATTGATTTGGTGATTTGAAACATTGAACTTTGATAAACATATAAAAAAATAGAAACTCAGGAAGGGGGGAAACACTTTTCATGCCATTGTGTATGTTTGTCTGTCAGCTGCTGCCTTTACCAGTCATCTTCCTGCATCTGTATCTCACCCTAGCATCCTCTCTAAGACAGCAATGCTCTGCATGTCCTCCGTTTACTCCATCCATAAATCTTCTTCATGTCTTCTGCTCTTTCCATCATCACTCTTAAACCTGCCTCCCTCTCATTCACACGTGTATTCTGTCTTGCTTCTACTGACTTTCATTCCTCTTCTCTCCAGAGTATACCTTTACCTCTCCAGGCTTTCTTCCCCTTACTGTCTACTCTGACTCAGTCATCATCTGCATAGACAATAGTCCATGTATACTCCCATCTATCACCGCTGCAAACAAGAACAGGCTTAGAACAGATTCCTGTTATCTCTCTGCTTGCCCTATACCATCCTCAAATACTTCTGTGCCACTCTTGACTTGCAGTACCACACTTCCTGTCTTGGAACCCTATCAGGTGTCTCTAAATCCACAAAGAAACTTCCACAGCATGTCTTTTGTCCTGTTTTCCTTCTCTCACCCCAACCGGCCGTGTCAGACAGCTGCCCCTCCCTGTGCCTGATTCTGCCGGAGGTTTCTTCCTGTTAAAAGGGAGTTTTTCTTTCCCACTGTTGCCAAAGTGCTCATAGGGAGTCATATGATTGTTGGGTTTTTCTCTGTATGTATTATTGTGGGGTCTACCTTACAATTTAAAGCGCCTTGAGGCGACTGTTGCTGTGATTTGGGCACTGTATAAATAAAATTGAATTGAACTGAACTCCTTCTAACCTCGTCCATACTTCTCCATCAACACTCTCAAAGCAAGCATCGCATTTGTACTGCTCTTTTATCAACATGAAGCCATACTGGTAGTAATTGTCAACTCTCTTCTAAACCTAGCTTCATCAACTTTATCTGTCTGTAGTTACTACAGCTCTTCACAACAATTCTTGAAAATCAGTTTCAGTACACTTTTCTCGATTCCTGTGTCATTATTTCACTCTCCTACATTGTGTTAAATAATATGGCTAAAAAGTGCACTGCCCTTGTCATCTGATCTGAATGAAGTGAACTTAACAGAACTGGCCTTTCAGTTCACACTTCTGAGACTTTAAAATTTATGTGGAAAAAAAATGTTAGATGAAAGTGACACTAGAACTTTGGCTGTCCATTACAGTGAAGGACTTGTCTGTTTTTCTTCCGCTTTTGCAGTTACAGTAACCTTGGTTTGATCTTGTTCCCATGCTTAGGTTTGTGATTTTTTTCTGCATAAAGAAAATATGCATGTATAGGTGTAACATCAGGACTCTAAGCTCTGCGACCGTCTCACTATTCACAGATCGAGAAGCCGGATTAAAGGGGATTCTTTGGGCTGCCTTGTTTGTGCGTGAATGTGTGTGTATGTGGGGTCACTCGTGGTTTATCCCTGACTAATATATTCAATTCTCCTCAGGAATGATGGCAGACAGCAGAGGAAAGACAGAGGAAAAGCTGTCAAAGACAAAACAAAATCACTAAAAGAACTTACAGATTTCATTAATACATTGTCTGAACCATGAATGGAATAGAAACTGAATTCAAACACTAGCATTATCAAAAATATAGCACAGGAAGTATGTTTACTTTGCTTTTTCAGCTTTTGTGTGAAACAAGTTTTTGTGTGGACCAGTTTGTGTTTTTGTTTATGAGCTGGGACACATAACCACAGGACACATATTTTATGTGGTCCTTACTTTGGAGGACACACATGGAAATGGTTCTTTGATAGCTCAAACTTGTTTGAGAGTTTTTGGTAAGTTTGGATGTTGGGCATTTGGGCATTAATATGATGATAGATGAAGATAAGGAAGAAGTGCCAGTATCCTCATAAAGATTTACATAAAGTTTACTAGCATAATAATTGGGAGACCTAAACAGACTGGTACTTATATAGTACTTTTCTAGTCTATTTGAGCACTCAAAGCACTTTCTTATCCATTTACACACATTTAAACAAGCACATTTTAACTTCACACACTCCAATAGATAGCTTGAGGGGAACTCGGAGTTCAGTATCTTGCTAAAGGATGCTTCGACACGCAGACAAGAGGAGTAGGTGATTGAAGAGCCGGCCTTCCACTTTGTAGAGGAAGTGCTTTACCTCGTGAGCTACGGCCACCCAATGAGAATAGAGCACATTTGTATTTTAGTAGAGACTACGATACAAAACAGATATTCACATATGTATTTTTTCAATTTTATTTTGCCTTTATTTATATAGGTAGTGCCCATTGAGACTCAGTGTCTCATTTCAATTCAATTCAATTCAATTTTATTTATATAGCGCCAAATCACAACAAAAGTCGCCTCAAGGCGCCTCATAGATACAGAGAAAAACCCAACAATCATGTGACCCCCTCTGAGCAAGCACTTTGGCAACAGTGGGAAGGAAAAACTCCCTTTTAACAGGAAGAAACCTCCGGCAGAACCAGGCTCATTTATAAGTGAAACCTGTTCCAGACAAGCAGATAAACATAATCATATATTAGTACAGACATTTGCACTTACATACACATAATGACACTGGTATAATTTTTGTCCACCTCTAAATTGGACATCAAGTTTGAGCTGACCAGCATACAGGTTATTAGTGCTTCATAGTTATCATCTATACAAAGTCTGAGCTGATGTCTTTCTTTAGCTTCTTCGAGGCCAAGAGTTGCATTATCATACATCCTGATTCTCAATACAAAGAAAGAAATGTAGGTTAATGCTTGTTTTCATATGAAAAAGGTCTCTGACTTTCCTTTACTTGTTTTTTCCCCTTCAGGTGATCCACGTCACAGGGCGCCTGCGGATCAGGATGGCTCTGACTCACAGCCGCTCAGTGCCCAATCAGATCATGGGGATGGTGGCGGTGGCTCACGCTCTCCCGCCGCCAACAATCAACGAGGTTCGCATCGACTGCCAAATGTTCGTGACCCGAGTCAACATGGACCTAAAGATTGTCTACTGTGAGAACAGGTAGAGCAGAAAAACTGAGTTTTTTTGTTTTGTTTTTGTCATCTGTTGAAAAAGAGTGCACAATAGTTTTTATGAAAAGAACGCAACAAAAAAGCAACATATAGGTCTTTAGCTATCATTTTCATTCTTAATTTTGTTAGTCTTATTGTATTAAATGCTTTTTAGTTTATATTTAATACACTGATTAACTTATTATGGGTTACAAAGAGTTTATAGATCACACAAATGAATGAAAACTTTTTGAGAAGACATGTTTTTATAATAATATCTATAATATCCCTACCATGTCTTAGTAACACTTCAAGAAACGTGGCATGAACAGCAAATGACATATTACACTATCATGATTTATTGGACAAAAAGAAATAATTAAAACATTAATAAATAAATTAATAACATGCCCAATAACCCAGTTTAAATCTCAGCTGCACTTATTGCTGAATGTGCTGCAGAAGTAAACACTAGCTGTCTTTAACACTGTCTACTGAGTGACTGGAAACAGTTTCGTTTGTTTCAAGTCAAAGTTTAGAACTTGTTTACTGTTTTGGGCAAGTTTTCTGAAAATCTTGTGATTTCGATAACTTGAGAAGAAGACGGGTTTTGAAATTGATACTAGAAGGTTGAGGGGTAGCACTGAAAGTTGCCAGTGTTTAAACTTGAGTGTAAGTGAATGACACTAAAAACATTCTCGGTCAATATGACACAAATTTCTGATTCCACTTTCCGCTCAACTTTGCTCTTAGGTATTTTACACAGTCTGACCTTGGGGTGAATTTGGTGAGACGTCCACTCCTGAGAAGATCGGCAACTGTCTTCAATGTTTTTCACTTGTCGATTATCTTTCTTTTAATACAACTTCAAATTGCTTGGAATGACCCTGAAATTTCCCAGATTGATGGGCAGCAATTGTTTCTTTAAGATAGTTATAGATGTCTTTCCTCCTGACATTGTGTTAACACATACCTGAATGCTCCTGATGAGCAAACTACCAAAATGTCAGCTTTTATAGAGGCAGTCACAATTTCTGATGATCAGTTAATGATGTACTGACTTATATCACCTTATATTACACACACATTGTGTACATAATATTTCAGCTGATACATATGAACATAGTATTGCTGAGTAAATGATATGTTTAAGGACATTTTAAAATAGTTTTTATCTACAAAATTATCTGTTCATCTTAGTTTATTTTGATTGGACATTTTAGAGTGCTCCACTTATATTGTGATTAAAGATCACAAGAAATTATGCCAAAAAAACTGACTACCGACTACTTCTGCATTCATCTTTCACACCTGCTGTTCAAGAAGAAAAGTTGCCTTCCCTGTCAGAGCATCTTATTCATGAGAACCCTGACCCAATCCTCCCCGGTTTAACAGTGAAATATGTCTCTGATGGATCTATCTCCTTTGCTCTGTCCAGATAAAGCAGATAGGTATCAGGATCTCATGCAGGAGTTAACCGGCCAACCAAGGAGATTCATATCAGGCAAAAAAAAAACCTTCATGTTTTATTATAGAAAGAGAGGAGGGGAAAATGATAGTAGGCAGATTGCTTTATTGGTGGGTGGAAAAAAGGGACACAATGCGAGGCAGATGATGATATTCAGTGCGCAGCGACAGAAAGCGTCTCTGTGGTGAACAGGCAAGTGTCGCTCCCATTACAGCCCCATTTTGAGGATGAGTTTCTAAGAGAATGAGAAAATGGGAGGATGGGTTTTTCTAAAGAACAGAGTGTGCTGTTATCTGCCTGCCAGACATTAGTCCTCCCACCGCCCACTCGCTGTCACAATGAAACTGGGGAAATTGTTCTGTCTATCCTGTGGCAAATTTGTTCAAATTAAAGCTTTTTAAAGCTCACATGTGTTACCTGTACAATAGACAGGCAGCTTCAGTCTCTGTTGTTGGGTTTATTAGCTTTTTTTGCCTCCCCTGAATCAGACTTCGTAATCATCGAATACCAGAACTGCAGAAAGAAAATTGTCTCAGTGTGACAAGCTATGTATTTCAAAGTTTCACAACATTTCCACTTCCATGCAGCTTATTGTGGTGGGATATGGATGCAAGATTATCATCCAAAGCAAAGCAACAGAACCCAACATGGGGAAGTGGATATTCTTTCATCAGCAATTCCACTTATTAAAGAGCAAATATAATCTTTGTTATTGATTATCAGAATTAGATTCTCTCTTCAATTTTTGCTGACCGCTGGCAAATATATACGGTGGCCCCGAGGTGCCATTTTAGAACATTTCAGAAACATATCAACAAAATTGAAAAGACAACAACGTTCTGTAAAGCACGAAGAAATCTCGAAAACTCAGCAGCACTTCAGAAATCTTAACAACAGTTCAGAAACCAAAGTGAGATGTCAGAAAACACAACATTTTGGAAAATATCAAACAGAAAAAGCTAAACGAATGCAACTGAATAACATAACCAGCGTGTGGTTGTGGTGTTTTGTTGAAAGTGGCGTAAAAAACAAATGATGACCAAAAAGTTTAGAACTTTCAAAGAAGTGAAACCTGTGAAGCTTCATTTAAGTGAAATTTAAAAAAAAAAATCAAAATCATGGGGCCTTTTAGACATGTATTTGTGTATTACACATACAGTTGAGCTTCCACTAGGGGTGGCTGTAGATCAGGAGGTATAGCAGATGATCTACTAACTGGAAGGTTATTGGTCCGATTCCTGGCTGCTCCAGTCTGCAAGGCCAAAGTATCCTGAACCTTAAGTTGCTCTCTGAATGTGAATGCTCGAGTGCTCAAGTAGACTGGAAAAGTGCTGAAGAAGAGCCAGTCCATTTACCATTTACCACTTTGGAACGTGTACTCTTTGTTTCAGAATCAGTGACTACATGGACCTGACTCCAGTGGACATTGTGGGGAAGAGATGCTACCAGTTTATTCATGCTGAAGATGTGGAGGGGATCAGACAGAGTCACCTTGACTGTGAGTATTGGAACCACCTGACTGAGTGCTGTTCTCTGATTGGGCAAAAGAATTTTTTCCTTAGTAACTTTGGAACTAGCAGTTTATAAGCCAGCTTTTCAGCATTTTTTGCCTACAGGTTAAACACTAGTTTAATGTACTTTACCTCTAATCCAGTGAATCTGTACATTTGTTTCATAGCAGTCATACTGCTAGATTTCCCTCTTCAAAGTTTAAAACCACTTATAGAGAATCCCTGCTCTCCTGTATCTTTGAAAAGTTTTCGCACAGCAGCAACTCTGCAATCTTATTACCCTTGTCAGGAGGCATAATGCACCCTCTGACACACACCCAAGCAGAGGCTTGGTATCCATGTTTAGTGGCTGTCTGGATGATTTGCGGCGTGCTGTTTGTTGCTGCAGTCACATCTTTACAGTGGCGGTAAAAACTGAGGAGGCGTTCAGAGCAACACAGCGTTTCACGGTTTGTCTGAGGTAGTGAAGGCATTTAGGCAGAACGCCAAATAATAACAAGCGGCACAGCAAGGACAGCTGGCGTGATGGGAGTCGAACACGGGCAGCTACAGTCAGATTCTGTCAAATATTGTCCACTGCGGCTGATTGCATTCAGATATAAGGCACAGATATTTCTCTGAAGACCCTTTTCTATTAACGTGGTTTGAAGGCTTAAAGCAGTGATTTGCGAACTGTATCAATAAAAGCTGTAAAAGCAATAAAATGCTAACTTTTCTGAGATTTGGTTTAAATTACTCAAACTGCTCAGAAAAGTCATGGAACCAACATTCTCAGAGATGTCGAATGACTATTGAATATGATGAAAACTGCCCTCAGAAGCTGGTTTACATTAATACTCTGAAAGAACGAAATGTTTCTTCCACTGAAAACTCTACATCCAGATGAACAGAATCAATTTTCTGGGATTTCCTTACCTGGATAATTCAGTATGCATCAAGACAAAACAAAACCCAGACCAGTTTGTTTGCCAGTATCATTTTACTCAGTGTATTACAATTTACATCTTATTAAGAACATAGGTCTAGGGCATGAAGTCGGTTGGCTCACTGGCCTTTTTGTCCCACTACATCTACACCTTAACCAAAGGAAGCTTTTTCTTCTCTCTTCCTCCCCTCATTGGTGGCAGTTTCTTCCTGTTCAAAGGGCATTTTTCCTTTTCACTTTTGCTTGGGGTTTTCTCCAAGTGCCTTGAGGCATCTGTTGTTGGGATTTGGTGCTATATAAATAACCTTTAACTTAATCTATAAATTTATTGGCACTATGATGACTTTAATTATTTCCTATAATCTTTATTTGTCTGAAGATGCATTTAGTTCATCTCTGTTTGAGGCTGCAGTTTGTTCTCCTTCTTTTAGCCTGGCTGTGGCTCAGAAAGCAGAACAGGTCATCTACTAACCGCAAGGTTGGTAGTTTGATCTCTGACTGCTCCAGTCTGAGTTCCAAAGTATCACTGGGCAAGATATCGAACCCCATGTTGCTCGTGATGTGTTCATCAGAGTGTGAATATTAGATGGAAAACACTTGTAGATGTAGAACAAAGTACTTGGGTGAATGAGACATACTAGAGTAAAATGGTACTATATAAGAAGTACTCCATTTGATTTGAATTAAATTTGGGTTTATGTTTGAGCTTGGTGTTAACGTTTGTTTAGGCTCTTTCACCTGTGAAGGTTTTGAAAATTGGAATATTACACTGGTGGAAATGTGTGGAAGGCCACTGTTGATGGCATACCACTAGAAAGGCTTCAGTGTTTTTATTCCTGGACGAAGGCCTGTGTAAAAATAAAGATATTGTCATTTATTTTAAATAGGGAGGGGCTTTGATTTTTTTTTTTTCCATTTGAAGCCCATTTCTATTGGTTGTAGAAACAACAGACCAATCATAGTGCATTTAGTGGTATTAAGAAGGGGTCTCCTTGTTGCTGAACAGTGAAAGAAAATAAATCACACACACGCACAAATGGCAGTGTTTGATTTTAGTGTAGCTAGTGGTCTCCTGCTGGTTTGATTTTTTTACATGCACTCTGAAAACAGAGGGAACTGACTTTAAGCCTTTGCTGTCAGTGTTATGTTAAAAGAAATTATTTGGTACTGTGTTGCAAATTATTCTATTAGTCCTAAAGGTCTGCTAACTTTCACTGGAAAGGAGGGCCCTTAAATGATTGTACTTACTGTACTTACCTCATCATTTCTCTGCAAATAGAGATTTTTGCCGGTCTCTTTAAGCTCTGACTCCCGACACCGGCCCTTACTGCTGTTGTGACACAAATGAAACATGTCACATAGCTCATCAACAAAAAAAAAGGCAAGAAAATATACCAGCATGGAGCTCCCTGAAACTTTTTCAATTACCTTCTCCAAAAGTTCCTGAGCTCTGAACATCCAGAGTGGCAATCAGGAAGTGGCTCTATGGCGGCCTGGCGGGGTCAGGCAGAATAAGGGGAGGGGGGCAGGTTAGGATGTGTAAAACAAAAAAAAAGGGGGAAGTATTGAGGGAGATTATTCCTCTCTGTCTGCAGTGAGGATGTGAGGTCAGGGAGGCAATCTGGCAGCCAACGGTTTAAATGACTTGGTTTTAGTTGAGCGTAGTCTAATACAGCACCTCCAGTCACCTCTGCTGTTCATTTTATTCTTCCTCTTTCAAAATTAATTTCCTCTGTGAAAGGGGGGCTTTCAGAAATAGATGGCTACAGGGCACTGAGGTTCTCCATGTCTTTTCTCTTTTTTTCTTTCCATCCTCACCGTCAAATGGAGCGCGGTCAGATTGTTCTAAAATCAGCCTTTCTTTGGGGCGGTTTCATTCGGTGGCTTTATGAACTCGCTGCTGATTGTGTGGAAGCTGATTTCAGACAGGAAGGCTAATGATTCCTAACTTTTTTTTCTGCAGACATGGGGGAACTTTCTGGCTAATTGGATAGCGACAGAAAACGTTTGTGTGGACATCAAATGCAAACACAAAAATAAAGAGTAACATCCAGTTTTATTTATATTGGCTTGGTTTTTCATCTTGATACCTTTAAATGTAAGATAATTATTTAATACAGTGATTTAGAGGCATGTTCTTTTAGTTTTTGTGTTCTTTGTGTTCTGGCCAATCAAAATGAGCTCTTTGCACTGGATGTTTGTGTGAAAGAAGAGCCAGACTAAATACTAGACATACCAGGCCTCCACCTCTATGTGCCTGTACTCAAACTACATCCCCAATTCAGAATCTTCTCAGTTAAATCGTAACCGATCGTTGAATCATTCATCATTTTCAGTTGAGAAACAGACTTTCTGCACTTCAATTTTCCTGTTTTTGTGGAACAGCAGCAGCTCACACTCTCCGATTTTTTTTTTGGGTGGGATTTCCACATCTGCTTCTGGTTACCCCATTGCAACATGAGTCAGATAGTTAGGGAATCGATCAAGGTATATTTTAGAGGGATAGCCTATTCTCTCAACAGGGATCTAAATTTTAAAAGGCTTCTTTTCAAGTGGAGGCCGAAGCATGATCCCTCTCTGTGAAGAGGCGTCTCTCTCTAAGTCTCTATCATTACCTGCTGACAGCTGGTCTAAGCTCAGGTCAGATCTCAAAGTCAATCTGTCCTCGTTTCCACTCAGAGAACAGAGAGAAAGAGAAGGAAGAGATAAAGGGTGAACTTTCCTTTTCAAAAAGAAAGGGGGGAAACGGAAAAGAGTGATTTGTCGGCACGAAAAGGAAAGAAATACTCAGCACAAGGGCTGGGAGAGAAATTCATCTTTTCTCAAAGAAAGGGATAGAGATGGGAACTAGTGATTTACAGACAGAAAAAAAGGCAGGACAAAATGCTAATTTTCACACGGAGAGACAGGCTGACGAGCCGTTTCATGTCTTTTTCAAAAGGGGCAGGAAGAATGAGAAAAGAGGAAGGATGAAGATGGGATAATTCCCATGTTTTCACATAGTGAGAAGGGTCACAAAATGCATTATAAGTAGCAAAAGAGAATTAAGGAAATAGAGGAAAGCGAGAAGAACTTTGCAAAGAAAGGAGAAATTAGAAGATGGTGTTGTAGTTTAACGGAGTGATAGGGGAAAATGTTCAGTTGGTTTTACAGAAGACAAGCACATCCATTACATGAAGGTGAAGATGTGTTAGAATCTATTGTGATCTGTGTTAGGCATCAAGTTGCTTAAAAAAAGAAGTGCTTTTGAAAAGTTCATGTTTTCATAATGACTGATGAACACAACACTAGTGTCACTCATTCTTGCCTGTGCCTGACCTTTCTCATGAGTGACTAGGTGACATGATGTGTGTGCTCCAGGTAATAGACAGTAAATCACAATACAGCTTGTTAGGATGGCAGTGGTTCAGACAGCACAGCTACCCAGCGGTACTGCTCAAGGCAGTCCACATAAAAGTTTGAAAGAGTTTTGAAAACAAAAGCAGAAAAGGTTCTGAAAGATTAAAACCTAACATCAGAACATATGTCACAGTGGCTGTGAATTTGATCCGAGACAGTTGGCCTAGAAGACAGAAATAATTTTAATGACTTATTTTGAATTAATTTCTGTTTTTTTTGGACAGTTCAATTCAATTATTAATCCAAATCTTTCAATTTGGATTAATAATTGAATTTAAAAGAAAATTAGAGACAAAAAAGATTTCTAGGTCTGTTCTTAATATCATGTTTTAATCAAATTTATGGGAATTAATCTCTTCACCCTCTTCAGCCGGTCATGGCTGATGGCTCCCTGAGCCTGGTTCTGCACTGACCTTTGACCATTTAGCTTTGATTGATAGATTTTGGTGATGTGTCACAGCCTGCCAAAACTGTATTTGTTGGGTCAGTGCTGTTACATAGAAAAGGATATATAGGTTGACGATGTTACATCTAAGACAGAAAATTCTGGGATTTGATATTTCAAGGATTCATCATGACAAACTAGTCATTAATCATCACTGGCACATTTTAGACTGAGGGCGGTGGACAGCCAAAGAGTTTGTTACACATGTGGAATCTAAA